GCTCAGACCCTTGGCGAATGGCTATATCAAGACATTGTCTGTCGCTGGGGTACGCTTGTCGAACTAGTCTCCGACAACGGCGACCCTGGGTCAAGGCGCTCGAGTACCTCTCGAAGAAGTATCACATCAACCATATCAGGATCAGTGGCTACAACTCGCGAGCGAACGGTATTGTCGAACGTTCGCACTTCGACATGAGACAAGCGTTGTTTAAGGCTGCAGACGGGATCAGTCGCGCTGGTCACAGGTCTTCCATTCAGTACTATGGTCCGAACGCGTAACAACTCGTCGAAGAATGGGATGTTCGCCATACTTTGCAGCGACAGGCACGCACCCGATACTGCCTCTCGACGTCATCGAAGCAACGTACCTTGTCCCACCGCCTGAGACAGCACTCGACACTACCGACTTGATTGCCCGACGAGCCATAGCACTTCAGAAACGGTCGGAGGACCTTTCGAAGATCTATCGAAGGTCTACGAAGCGAGACGTGAGGCTGCCCGACGCTTCGAACGAGAGCACCAGTACACGATCGAGACTTCGACTTCCAACGTGGGGACTTAGTCCTCGTGCGAAACACAGCGATCGAGAAAGGCCTTGAACCGTAAGATGCGTCCCGGTACCAAGGACCTATGGTCGTCGTATCTCGAAACCGAGGAGGTGCCTACATCGTTGCTGAACTAGATGGCACAGTCCTCGATAGACCTATTGCCGCGTTTCGAGTCATTCCCTACCTTGCTCGAAGGTCGATCACGATTTCGCTCGAACACCTGGACGTACCCTTCGAACGTTTGCGTGAAATGGAGGAGTCAGACACTCTAGGGGACGACGAGCCAGAGGCGTCCGACATACCCGACGAGCTAGACGACGAGTCTTCAGCTTCGAAGACGAGGAATGAGCAAATCGAAGAACTGCCTAGGATACCCAATCCATCTCTATCATTTAAACTTAATTGTTCCCACTTAGTCATTTCTGCACGGACACTTTGATACGTCGCACACCACGCACACGGAGGACACGACATTCATTATACGAGCCAAAGAGGAGAGACGTTACACTTTGCGAGACGGATACACATACTACGGCCCCGAACGCATGTACGGACCTACGAACACGACCGGAGGACACTACGAACGACTACTACTTCGACCCTTTTCCCTTCGAAGGCCCCGCCGACGGACCAGCTGCGGGCGGATCGAATGCGCCACGCGCGCCTCGGTGGATTCGACGTACAGCTCGTCGACGCGACGGCTGTAGTACTCTTGAAGACCCTCGAGCACGGCAGCTCGAGACCCATTAGGTTCAGCGACGCCTCGACGTTGCCGACGCGTTCGGAGGTCGCGTCAAGGCTGCACGGGCCTCGGCGAGCGAACGGACCGGGGCGCACTGCGCCTGAGGATCGCCGAGATGTGATCGGCGGGGTCTGCGTCTGCGCGCGTGCAAGGCCGCGGCGGCACGAGGATGGAGGGCATGCGCGACGGCACGAACGTCGGCAGCCAGGGACCGTGACCGGAGCGGAGGCGCGGGGGCTGCAGGCTCCTCGGCGTCGACGCCCTTGCCTACGAAATGGAGATGTCAGCTACGAACGAACACCGGTCTTCGAGATAGGAAGTGGACTTACCGGCACGTCGAGCCTTGCGAGTGCCAGCCAAGTGGCGGCGCCCCATAACAGCCCTGCTGATCATGCAGGCACTGGTTGCAAGCGACTGCGTCGCCTCAAAACGCAGTCCTTCGGGGTCGCGTAGCCCGCGGCGCAGCGGTCACACTAAGCACGAACAGTTAGTAGGGATACGACGAAGATATCGGGGAAGTACTCACCGCCATCGTCCTGTCGCGGACTGTAGTCGCGCGAGCGACGAGCTTGCGGACGGCGGGGTCCGTGACGTCGGGCGCAGAGCCGTCAGCCGGGGCCTTACGCTTCTTGCTTTTCTTCGAGCCCTTGGGCTCGGAGACGATCTCGACCTCCGGCGATTCCGCACGAACGGTCGAGGCGTCAGAGGCGGTGGGGGACTGAGCGCGGGACTTACCCTTGCCCCGAGCACCGACCGGCCACGTCGCGGCAAGCCTTTCCTCGCGAAGTTGACGAGCCGCCTCGCGCTTGTGAGCCTCGGCGGCCTCCTCGATCTCGGCAGCCTCGCGGCGTTCGAGCTCTTCGGCCTCGGCGGCCTCGCGTCGTGCGTTTTCTTCGGCCTCTCGGGCCTCTCGAACCTTCAGGGCCTCGGCGGCCTCCCGACGTTGTCGTGCCTCGGCCTCGACGCGCAGCCGAGCTTGTTCGGCCTCCCACTGCTGGCGTTCTTCGACCTCCTTTCGGGCATGCACAATCGCGGCGTCGAGGAGGGCCACTCCATGTGCCCCGCGCACTGGCGAGCCGCGTCGGGATTCACGTGCGTGGCGAGGACGAGAAGGCGACCCAGAGCGGTCGCGTTTCGGTGCGAGAGAGCCGCTCCCTTCGACACGCGAGTGAACCGGTTCTACGAACGCGTCGGCATTAACTACGAAAGGCGGAGTAGCTGTACTCACCGTGGCTGCGTACGCACCCTCGAGCCACTCTCAATCGCGTCCGGCTTCTCGGGCACGAGGTTCGCCACGACCCAGTTGGCGAGCGGAACATGGGGCTCTTGGGGTCGTGGGGAACGGGGAATCCGGTCTTCGGATCCACGGTGCAAGGTTCGTCCGACGCAGAGGCGCCGGCAGGTTCGGGGGACTTGGCGAAGGCGGGAGCGGGCGCGGGAGCAGATGAGGCGGACATGGGGCGAGCAAGCGGGACGAAGATGGACGAGCGAAGCGGGGGATTAAGCGAAGTTCGGCTGGGATCCCCCCCGCTATATGTGTGCTCGAGCTTTGTGGGTCCACCTACCGCATTCGAGGCGCTGAAACAACGGGGATCATCCCCATCAGAACCAGTCCAAAACGGGAAAGAAGCGCTCACCTCCCGTCCAATGGGATTAATTCTTCGGATCAACGTGATCGAGGCACGTCCTGCCGTTCGCTAATCGCTTCTCGAGTGCTCGCCATTGGACAAGACCTCGGACGGCCTGGCGCGGAAGCATCTCGATGATCGCGGACGCAAATCAAGCGCCGGCGTGTTCGAGCCGACCGAGGACGGTCTGGATCTCAGTAAGGGGGAGATGATGAGCCCTTAGCTCACCTACCCACCGAAAACGCCATTTACGGTCGATACAACGGTACACTAAGTCAGAACGGTCGACGCACTGTCCGTCCGTTCGAGGGAACCGCCCGATGTTCGAAGCTCAAGCGTCCATGTTCGGAACCCTTAGTGGCAGAGACAAGCGGTGTAGAAGCGTCGCTACATTGGTAGGACTCCGGAGCAAGTACATGGCTACGTCAACCTAGCTAGTGACGACCTCGGCAACTCTCGTATCTATGTCCTCGACCTCCACACCCATGACCACCACCCTACCCCTACGAACAGACGGACCGGTGTCGGCGCCACGGTCAGTGTTGACGCGCTCGAGTAGGCTTTCGAGCAACCCAACGAGGGTGCCGTGCGTGCGGCGCTGGTCGACTGCGATGTTGTGAATGCTCGACCCATGGCCTCGAGGTTATCGGGCAGCTGGCGAAAGTCGGACAGGATCAACGACTCGCGCTGATACTGCGGGTTCGCGAGGGGACGACGCTCGGCCTGGTTGACTTGTTCGAGCAGTACCAAGGTCTCGGACCACGCGATCGTAGGGTAGGGCGAACCTAGGATGTCTCCCTGGTTGCCATCGCGGTGAAAGACCTCGTCGAGGTAACGCATCAACTCGTCGATCTCGGGGAACGACCTAGGAGCGGGAAGCGTATCGTTCGCCAGCAGGATGGCCCGGCTACGGGACTCGAACAAGAATCGCTGTTCGAAGGTCGGTTCGATGGTTCGAACGATAGTCTAAGTTCGGAGGCACGTACGATCATCCAACGGACTCCGTGAGCCCAAGCCAGCCACTCTCCGGGACTGTTGGCATCGTATCGCGGCTCGACAAGTCCCTCGGTCTTGAGGACCTCTAGGAGGCGGTAGTAGCGGGCAGCATACGCTTCGGAAGTTGGGTCGAGGTGCGGCATGTTCGTGTAAGCCAGGCAAACTCCTGCGGCTGTCTCATATCTTCGAGGACTGTCACCGGCTCCGGTTATGACCTTCACCGTTCGGGGACGGTCGCCCGTTATTCGGAACTTGCGGAAGGCCGAGTTGGATTCTCTCATGTGTTAGTAGGTCCGGGTCGAGCGTTGTGACAGTCTCCGATTGGCTATTTTCCTTATCACTCTCATTCATCATTTCTTGGATTTCTCTTGGCTCTCTTGGTCTTCGGACCGTATTTTCCTGTATATACTCTGGGACTTGTTCCCTTCGAATCTCAGAGACCCCCTTACCCTCTCAATCTCACCTCGCACCGGCGAGGCTCGACAGCCAGTCAGTACGTTCGAAAGTCAGCAAGTTCGCCAGTCAGTCAGTACGTTCGAAGCCAGTCAGTCAGTTCGCCAGTACGTTCGCCAGCTCGTAGTTGCCCCGAGAGGCTCTACACTTCTTCTCCTGCCGTCGCTCGCCTCCCTTGTCACCGTTCGTTCGACACGTCTGTCGAACCCTCCCTCCTACCTTCGAGGCTTAGCCCTCGTCTTCGAACAGTCTTCGACATCTTCGAAGCTCTCCCACGTCGTTCGGAGTCTTGTCCGTCCTCCTCCTTCTTACCTAGACCACTGTACAGTCCCCCGTACATCTCATAGACGCAGAGGCCTCGCATACCACTGCTCGACCTCACGGTTGGGTTTTTGTGTGGCTTTTGTGTTCTTTTCGGTCGCGTCAACGTTCATCTGCAACGACAAATTACATTGCTTAGTATCGACATGCGTGAGTTCTGAGCCATTCAATCCATGGTCTATGAGGACTCGTCGTCGTAGACAATGACTGCTTGGCTCCTAGAGTGTGACTGCTTAGCGACGGTGATGAGCAGAAACTGATGCCGAGCCCACCTGCACTCTTGCCCCTGTGAGACGGCGTCAAGGTCTGGTTAGAAGCAGCTGAGTCGAATGCAACGCACATTGTCGGTCCAGCACAACAGGGCCTTCAGTTCAGTCAATCCGAACAACAATATGACCTTGAAACTTGCTGAGAAGTAATCGCCTAGTAATCCTTTTTTAGACTTCCAGCAGTTCAGAGGGATGTCCGCGTGGATGCAACACATAGTAGAGAACATATCTAATGGTCATGCGGGGGTCGGTAAGCGGCGCAAGACGGTCAAGCAATGGCGACTCACCAGTCTCTTCATCAACCCATCGCGGATCTTCTGACATTCCTTGATATGCTATGATGCTAGCAGTGACACGGGTACGGGGCGAGTATGATACCTGGATGAAAGAAGCCCGAAACTCCTGCTCTTCCGTAACCAACGTACCCTGATATGATCGAAGAAACGAGTGAGCAATTGGGACATCTGATCGTAGACGAAAATAATACCCTAGAAATGACCTTAGTGAAGGCATCCGGAATGACTACCTCTCCATCCGATTGTACGTATGATTTGTGTCGTCGCTCAATATGTTCAGGGAGTGACGATTTGAATCTAGTGCTATTGTCTGTCCCGTATATGTGCTTGGCAACCCGAGCCGAAACAAAGTTCTCCAGGTGGAACCAGAGAGCTCCTTCGGCGACAGCCTTGGCACTGACCGCGCATACTGAGTGCGCATACAAGAAACAATCAGCAAAAAGAACCTACGTCTGATGCTCTGGAAAGAATAGCACTAAATCATGTTGACGTGCGAAGGCCTGGAGTTGTGCACGCAGAAAAGGGCTCCCTGCAAAGCCCCCGACGAGTAAGATCACCTACATGAAGTCGTCACTGGTCGTCAAAATGTATCGCGCGATCTAAGGATGGAACTGACAGAGATATGGCGATCAGAGAGGTCTAATTGCCGCTGGATCGCTCGTTGGATGGCGTCGATGGACGGCCGAAAGAATTGTAACATCTCGGCCCTGGGAGACTCTATGACGCAAAGAAACGAAGGCAAGTGACTCCGAGCCAACACGCACCCAGACAATGCTAGTACACCTCGCTTGATGCCACACTTGTCATCGTTGTCACGAGGTCCGCCAAACTTGACATACGATGTCTTCGTCGTGTCTCTGAAGGTAGGCTTTGCGCTGGACTCGAAACTCTCTAACATAGAGTTCACGAAGTCGTCATTGGCGAAGCGCGAGTCCTTCAATTTATCTGATTTCTGATCGTGGTAAGCTGGGCATCGAGACAGTTCGATCAACTCACCTTCGAGGAAGGTGCGTGCTCGGTTATTTACGCGTGTCGAGCCTTGCAAAAGGCCTTGCACACAGCGATGTCAGTCTAGCAATCTGACAAGCTGGTGAATGGGACTACACACAATCTGCAGCCAAACTCTCCACGACATTGAGAGGGACTGCCTTGACAACTTTGTAGGTACTCAGGTCAACTGTGCCGCCACCAGCGTCCACGACCATGATTTGTTCGTCCTCCTGTGTGATCATAAGCGATATAAACGGCACTGGATGCGAACGTGCAGACCTTCAGCGAGTCCCCAACGAGTCCATTGACAATGCAGAAGTGAAGACTTGCTTCTCCTTCACTCACGAAACTTATCCTAGCGTTCCCGGCTTCCATGTCAGGAACCAAGCCGGCCAAGATTGCGGCATGTCTCATTTTGCTCTGCTGCTTACCACCCCATCCGTTCGGGTGACTCAGCACGAATTCGACGGGCGTGCCTGTCTCCAATACTTGCCTACCAAGTGCATGGCTGTCAGACATGTAATCCTTGGCGCACTTGTAGATGTAGGCCAAGTAATCGGCGAAGATCTGAACGACAGACTTGTCGATACATAGGGCAGAGCACGGGTCGTGGGAACCCGCGCGGGTACCGGGTACGGGTACATCCGGGTACGGGTCCGGGTCACGTTTTTGTGACCCGTGACCCGGACCGTACCCGCCACTGGGACGGGCAGCGGCTGCGTTCGGGCAACCATCAAACACAACCAGCCCAAATGCGTGACTTTGCAGCCGACGAACGGACGGCGGGCACACCAGCGAAGGGCGGGCAAGGTGAGTCGCTGTCACGCTGTCAGCTCAATGCAGGCTCTCAGACTCGTGCTGCCCACAGCCCAAAGACGACGCGCCCAAGCACGACACGGAGCACAACGAGCACGGACAAAGGAAGAGACAACGGGACGATGGGCAGGAGTGTTGGACGAAAGGAAGGCAGACGGACAAAATGCGAAGAAGGTGTGTGTTCTTTGTGCACCTACTGACATTTGTTGTTGCTAGTCACCTCGACGAGCAATCAGCTCGTGGTGCGTTTACTTGCCCACCAGTTTGCGCACCCCACTCGCACGCCCGCGCGTCCGTCCGCACATTCGGCTTGCCCGCCCGCCCTTTTGCCCGCCCTTTGCCCACCCGCTTGCCCTCTCACGCCTGCCCGTTTACCCTCTCGCGCCCGTCCGTCTACCCTCTCGTGCCCGCCCGTCTACCCTCTCGCGCCTGCCCCTTGCCATATGTCCGTTCACGTGTTGTTCTGGCATGCCCACGCCTGCGCTCTTGTTAGCTCGACCACCGGCCGACCTGCTCACTACGCCTCTCCTGCTTGCCCACTGACTTGCTCGCCCACTTGGTCACCCCTCCTCGCCCTCCTTGCTTACTCGTCCGCCCGCGCGCTCTCCCTCGTATTTCGCTCGGTCATCTGCTAAGTCGCTCACAATCTCCTCCACCCTTTCGTCCTGATTGCCTGATATCTCACTTATCCGCCATCTCATTCGCCCGTCATCTCGCTGTGCTGCCCGCCGTCCCTCTCGCTCACCATCTCGCTCGCTTGTCATCGCGTACACCCGCTGTCCGCTGTCCTGCTCGCCGACTGTCTCCCTCACCTGCTGTCTCGTGTCTTTCTCACTCGCCTCGCTCGCCTGCCGTCTCTAGGCGCAGTAGGTGCTGCTAGAAATGATGTCTATGAAGTTGGCTTCGTGGGCAGAGGCTCGGAATGGAGAAAGGAAGGGGCCAATACCAGGCGCGGTGCAACGAGTATGCTAGCAACCCAGAAGACCTCTTCCTCGTTGCCAGTGCGTCCGGCATCACCCGACACATTCATCACACCGCACAAGACCAGCATCCCGATCCCGATCCTGCAGTGCGCGCTCTACACGCCGATGCTCGCGCAGTGCAACGGCATCGCGCTCCCGTACCACCTCTCCGAGTCGGACGGCTGGTCACCGCCGTTCAACGAGATCCATTCAGCGCTCAAGCAGGGCGAGGCGAACGGGGAGAGCGTGACACCGCACGCGCTGGTCGTGATCAACTCAGGGAACTGGATTGGTGCACTGCTCGACCGAGATCGAAAGACGACGGAGGAGCTCGTGTGGCTCCGCGAGCACTCGCTCGCGGGCACGGTCTACCAGGACCACCCCGAAGAGCATTCGCGTGCATGCTCGCGCAGTGCACGCGGCTTATTCCCGCACGGCTGAACATGCACTGGCGACCCGTGGACCTGCCCGTGGACCCGCGGACCCGCCCACACCCGTGCAGAACCCGTACCCGCCGTCGCGGGTCTGTACCCGGGCGGGTAAGGGTACGGGTACACCTCGGGACACCCGCGGGTGTACCCGTGCTCTGCACTATCGATACATATCTTTGGCAATCGCTCGCCCTTTGCTTGCATGCCCTCCGGGCAGAGACGTAGTTTGAACCTACGCAGGGTGTTCAGCCCACTGAATTTGAGCTGAAAGCAAGGACTCGTGTCATACCATTCAGCGCGATTCCATTCTTGTTCCTCTGCTTCAAGCAGTGTACCATCCGATACAGCCTCGGCGCCGGCGGCACGGACCTCGCCATCCTCATCGTAGTACAGGACAGACGGAATCTTCGTGTCCCTGGCCTTGTTCTCGCCTTCTTGTCCGGGGTACCTGCATGAAGAGTCCATCACTACAGCGGCCAATGCGACGGGTTGAAACTTCACTCACCTGATAACACTGTGAACTTCAGGGACCTTCCCAGGATCCAAGACGCAGAATGAGACCCCGCTGTAAGTCGTCCCCACATCTATGGCTAGCACTAGTTTGCGAGTCGTGCCAAGGTATACATCCCCATGGGGCATGATGGGCGAGGGGTGACTGAGATTAACCACACAACCTTCTGTCGCAGCGACGCTGCGGTTTAAGTGTGAGCATGCTGGAAGAACGTCTCGGACGGGACTGAAGGTTCGATGGCCTACGCATCGGGTGACTCGAAAAGCTTCTGTATCAGCATCTGCAGAGGCATCTCGACCTCGTGCACTGTCACTGTTACGTAGACTTGCCGCCGGACATGTCGTTCAATATGTCCTGTCCGTCATGAAAATAGACGGACAATCACAACTAGAGGTGGGCCTACCTGAACCAAGGATAAGAGTAACTCGTGTACCTGCGCGTGTTACCCCTCCACACGCCGCGCGCCATATCTCATCACGAGCCGACCTCGATAAGCTAGACAGATGCTTTGCTTGCCAAAACTCTGCCATTTACCGCAGAACAGACACCTCTTGAGATATGGCTGTCTCCTGGAATTCTGCTCGGGTCAGCAGGGATAGACACCTGACTAGCCATAGATCATAACGAGTCAACCTCCATATCTCATGCAAGCCACAGCGAGTTGCCATATCAGCGAGTAAGTCTAGTGGATGGATAGCTGGGCATCGCCGCCTCAGAGCACACGAACCGTGCCCCGCTGACGATATGGTAAGTAACCACGATCTGAATATGCTGTCCACACTTACCGGCGTTCAGTTGGACAAGGCCAAGTACTGGTTGGGACGGCCCCCATACGCGTCCCCGACAGTAGTGCCAAACCGAAGGCACTACCGTGTTGAGCAGAGCTATGAAGTGGATATTCCACAAGCACCGGTAGCCCCTCATCCTCATCCGCATACACAGGTATTGGCAACAATCATGACTCCACGCAGGAAGGCTAATGGATCACTTCAAAAGCCCAATAGTCGTGCAAACATCTGCCGACCCGAGGTGACATATGCCAATGTGGCATGTAATCCACGCTCGGCTCATCAACATGATGTTTCAATGTATGAGCGTGATCACCTGACGGCGACGGTTCAAGAATTGCAGGGTCAGTTGCAATCTCGCGACATGGACATACGCGGATATTACGAAGAACAACAGCACCTGATGGCCAGAGAGGCCGAGACAAGGCAGGAGGTAAGTACGTATGGGACTGAATGACAGATGTACTCACAAGTCATGCATAGCTGGAGGAGTCACCACCAGATGCTGGCAGACTCATGTATTAATCCTTGTGCTTAGCACAAATGGGTCATACATAAACTCCAGAGCTTACAGCGAGCCTTCATGTATAAAGGCGCTGTAATCACTGCAGCAGGCGCGCCTACCCGATTGGGCAACTGCCCTTTAAGGATAGCCCAGGTCACCTGGCGCTGGGGAGAGCTCGCGGCGGCGGCCCCTACCCAAAATAGTAGGTGCTGTTGCGCGTTCCTCCACTTTGGGTCCTGTCATCGGGCGAATGCGATTGCAATCACGATATGCGATCAGCTCGATCTGACATGGTCTAGGGCTAGGTACAGCTCCATATATAGCCGCGACTCGTTTGCACGGTGCCCGAATAGTCATATCGTGTATGTCGTGCGCCATGACATACACACTACATATGTCACACTGCACAATATACATTTCAGAATTCTACTTTGATCTTTGCGATGCCAATTACTACTACTACATCAAGTCCTTACACGAACATAAAGCAGCAGCCATACCAATTTCGTATGTTCAAGGTCCCGACACATGATCAGGCTCTGATCGATGCAGCAGTCGTATACTTCTTAACACTGCACGGATGGAGTAGCCCCCGCAGTGGCACTATGCACGGATCCATGATGTCTCGGCCCGGTCTTGTGCTTCCTCAGTAGTCTCCCAAGTACTGCACTGTATGGATCAGCTTGGTGGCAATGCAGACGATGAGGTAGTGAGCGTACCTTCACAGGCTCTGCGGATGCCAGGAGGATGGCATGGATGTTAGAGAAGCAACGGGCACTGAACGGCGAAAGACGCACCGCCATTATTGATTCGACCGTCACCATTGAGATCCGCCTCGCGGATCATCTCGTCGACCTTGTTGTCCGACAGCTTCTCGCCTGCGCACCACCCGCACGAGCAGCACCGGCGCCGACTCTCCACGCAGACGAGCGCACTCACCGCGGTTGGTCATGACGTGGCCGAGCTCCATGGCGGAGATGGAGCCACTGCCGTCCTTGTCGAAGACCTGCTTGGTCTTCTCCTCGCTTTCCGTGTCACACACTTTGCGTGCCATCGTCGTGAGGAACTCGGGGAAGGTCAATCGTGTTGTTCCAGGCCGCGTCGACCTCGTTGATCGTGTTTGCGGCTCTGCCTCCGTCAGGTTCTGCCCGAGCGAGCACATCCCCTCGTACCCGCCGACACACCGTCCCTACCGGTCGACATGCCATTCGACATGCTCGTCGATGCGCCATTCGACGCGCTTGTCGACGCGCCGTCTGACATTCACGTTGACGAGAGGCTCGGTCTGGGGTGGGTGATAGATTAGTGCGTGCTTAGATGGCCCAGGCAAGCTTACCTGCCTGACTTCACCCCGAGTGTGTCTCGGAGTCTCAATGTTGTCTTCCGTGCAGAGTTGAGCATGAAAGGAGAGTGGTAGAGTTACAGTAGCACACGGAAGTGACGTGAGCCTTGCGGGCGCCCGTAAACTCAACGTTTGTGTCTATTTGTCGTCTCACCAGATTTGGCAACCCCGATGTGCTCGGGCTGCTCCTGGCCAATCACAACGCGTTTAAAGGTCCTACTTAGGCCTGCAACATATCTGCGACTCGTGTTCCGGTCGTTTTCGCAGTATGTGTGCATGTCTTCAATGCTACAATAGTGAATAGATGTATGTCTAGTTACATAGACTGAAGGAATACAACAGATGGGGTTGCAGTATAACACACAAGCTATTCTCGTATTCGGTAGGGTTGTCTATCTACACTATTAGTGTACTGGTTCTTTGAGTTGCGATCCGTGAATCGTCGACTTGGGCAGATTGACCGCGGTGGTTGCTGTATATGTATAGAATATGTTATTACTACCATGACAAGGTCTCTATGTACCGACATCTCGGCCGTATCTGCGTGCAGGGGCAGTAGGGCAGTCGCCCGGCGCAGTTGGTGTGCGTTGCGCGCCCCGGCCCTGCCCACCGTTGCGGTCACTTATCGCTCACGCGCCCGCCTTCCGTTCGTTGGCCGTGTTTACGTGCGGGGCATTTGCCCTGCACGCTCGCGGTCGCTGTGCGTGTGTTGCTCGTCCGCCTGCTTGCCCTCTCGCCCTCTCGTCCGCTTGTCCTCTCGAGGCTCGCTCGCCCTCTTGTCCTCTCGAGGCTCGCTCGCCCTCCCACTTTCCCCCTCACCTGCTCGTCTGTCTACCCACCCGCTCGCCCAATTGTCTGCTTGTCAACGGATCCGTCTGCTCGCCCGCTCGTCCACCCGCTGCTCGTCCACCCGCTGCTCGTCCACCCGCTGCTCGTCCACCCGCCGCTCGTCCATCCGCCTGCCCGTCCATCCGCCTGCCCGTCCATCCGCCTGCCCGTCCATCCGCCCGCCCACCCGCTCGTCCGTCCGTCCGCCCGCTCGTTCACCTGCCGCTCGTCCGCCCGCCCACTAATCCGTCCATCCTCCTGCTCTACATCCGCTCGTGTGCCTGCTTGCGCGCCTGCGTTTGCATTTGTCGGCTGCGTCTGCGTGCTGGGCATTCGCCCAGCGCGCTCGCAGTGGGCAGGTGCTGTCGCCTGCCCGCTTGACCGTCTGCTTGTTCTCATACCTGTCCGCTTGCTCACCCGTCTGATCGTATATCCGACCGTCTGCCCGCCCGACTGTCTGCCCGACCGTCTGCCCGCCTGTCCGCCTGCCCGCCCACCCTCGCGCCGGCCCGTTGACTGTGTTTGCACGCGGGGCATTAGCCCTGCGCGCTCGCGGTCGACGCGTGCGTCGTGCTGCACGTTGCTGCGTCCTGTAGCTACAGTCAGCTCGCTCGCTCGTATGGCATTTGCTCACCTTAATGCCAGCCCTTCGCTACCACACCCGCCGTCCGTTCGTCGGCTGTGTCTGCATCCAGGACATTGGCCCTGCATGCTCGCTGTCGTCGTACGCGCTATGCTCTAACGACGTCGGTGACCGGGAGCGGGATGGTGAAGGTCGCAAACAGCAGGCGGAAGCGCTCGGCTCGTTGCGGGCTTCCGGGCTTGGCCGAGATTGGCGCCACGCAGCGGGCAGGGCGGCGCAGGGGATCCAAGATCGTATGTGATCTCAGATGCGCTGACCCCGATGTGCGTCCATATGGGGTACGCATCGGTACCGCCCTGACGGCGGGCGAAAGGGACCGGGCTGCCCCGGGGTGGCTGCTATAACGGGTAACGACCGACGGCGCCTCGCTCATACATGAGCGAGTGGCAGCTCATGTATGAGAACAAGCCACAGTAAGTACAGGCATTTATGTATGATGACTCTGTGCTAACTACAGGGATTTTATACAAACATATGCCTATATGGCCTGGAGTCACGTCAAAGAGAAGCACATATCACGAAAGAATGCCACAAGTGGAGGACACTTGCGGAGACACGGCAACAGGAGCTGGCAGAGGCGCGAAGCTTCCTCGCATCCCCAGACAATATCGCTGAGAGCGACATTGTTCAAGCCGTTCGTGCACTGGATGCAGAGATATACCAAGCAGTCAAACGGACAGCAGAGGGATGTCGCCTCAGAGGTGGCGAGGCCGATGCGGCAGTCATGGAGCGGATGAACGTGTTAACGAGACCTACGATGGCAGGATTGCTTCATGCCTTTCCGCCTCGGGAGGACGACCGGATCACCCTGGAGATGACTCTTCAGACCACAGTCACAACGTATGTTGCCGGGGTTATATCGTCTTGGACTCCGTCGTCCTCTAGTAGCAGCGCCAACCAAGTCATCAGCTCCATCTACAATCGCATGCTTCAATCAGGTAAGCCTACGAATCCGGCCTTTGTATGAAGGACGACGCTCACAACGACTGCAGAGCCACAAGCTGTGGCTGGTCGCTGGCGTACTCTGACCCGCAAATATGCCACGTCTAGCTCGACGGCGGCCAAGGACCAGGAGACATGGCACGTGCAATGTCTGATGGAGGATGCAACAACAATTTTGACAGCCTCTCGAGTGACGTCTTGGGACGAGAGCGACCTACGGGGAAACTTCGAGATCATTGTGAAGGCCGCCATGCAATTGCGTAGGATGGTAGGAGAAGACGTGGCTGGGAGCGAGTACGAGGTGTTCGTAGAGGAACAGAAGAAGCCCTTCCGACCAGAAGTGATGGTCGACGAACACGCACCTCGGCGGAAGCGTCAAGACAGAGTCGGAAGGCCCGTCATATGTGCGTTGACACTAGGGCTTCGTCGCACGGAGAGAGACAACCGCAGCGGATCGAGAGGACGCCTTGAAGTCAAAACGCTCGTCAAGCCGCAGGTGATCCTAGACACGATTGTTGATGACCTGGGTTTGGTCGATGATACAGAGTGAGAGGAGAGGTAACGAACCGTGGATGAGTCCTACTGCTGTCCTCCTGTAGCACGGATTCGGCCCCGCATCTTGGTAGCACTCGGTTGGGACGGCGACGATGAGACTACATATATATGGCTACGACGAGACGGCGGCGGCGACGACGATGGCGACGGCGACGGCGACGACGAGAGGACGACCTGCACACCCGTGTGACAGGTCTGTAACGCCGGGTAGTGCGGTCCGCACCCATAGGGGCGTACTTTCCATTTTCGATATGTCCTCATAGGAGTCCCTTTCACTCAAATGCCTGAAGATACTGTCCGCACCGTTCGTTTTGACGATCTCGAGCAGAGTGACCGACGATTATTGATATTGAGCTTCTTCCTTATTAGTACATAAGCACTTACTGACACCTCAGTGTCACCGAGGGGGCGCGCTACGTGTCACTGTCACAGTACATTCCGTCACTGGCCCACGCAGATGTCCTCGGCAAGTGTATCTCAAGTGTTTCCACGCAACGTCGTTGAGTGTTTAGATACTGTGCAACTGTAAAGAGAAACAGATTAGTGACGTACCTCTGGCCGCATAACTTGAGCGATCATTGAATATTGAAGCCCAGTCCTCGGTTAGATGGCCGAGTTGATAACTCCAAGATCTACGTTATGTATATGAGCTCTTGAACATGAATGGGGACGACACGACAACGAATATCCTCTCTGCGCATACTAGTCGTCATCAACAGCGCCAACCTCGTCCTCGTTGAACACCAGTGTCACCGGACTTCTGCAGTAGTCCTATCGGCAGCGAGTTCTCTACTTCTCTATCATTATGCACGTACCTCTTCTCTTGTCCCTGCGCGATACGATGACATCAGCGATGGTTTACCAACACAGTATTTTCTACGCACATTCTCGTTCCAGCTGAGCTGAGCTTTGAGCTCTGTGAGACCGAAGAGCATGACGACATGATAATCTTTCATGAAGTATTCGCCGAGTTTGCCAACGGCCTGTTCGAACGACTCTGGACTGACTTTCGCGTGTACAGTACAGAGCGTAGAGAACATAGCTACAGGTCGTCAGTGAGTAGCGTGACACGGAAGGCTGATTCCAGAGGCAAGCACACCTGGTTCCTCGTCAATCCACTCATGGATCTCCTTTAACCCTTTGTATGCTAGAATTGTTGATTGAATTCCTTTCAACCGGAAATGTGATTTTCGAAGTAAGGGAACACAAAATTCCCTCTCTTCTTCCACTAATCGACCCTAGAATGGTTCAGCACGACGTGAGCATTAACATCATAATTGATAATCGAAGCAATGCTCCGTATTACACGAGGAATGATCTCTGAGAATACGCCCGCAAGTGCAGGTCTCCCGTCGGCGGATAAGAACGTATTCGCTTTGCGCTTTGTATGGTCAGGTAGTGATGCGTCGAATGCTACGCTGGCTTTGGTTCCGTAGGCATGCTTCGCAATCCGAGCTGAAACAAAGTTATCGAGGTGGAACCAGAGCGCGCCTTCCGCGACTGCCTTGGACCTTGAGTATTTGTTGATTATGAACGCATCACGACATTGGTTGTGGAGGATACTTACGTCTGTGTCTCCGGGCAAAACAGCGCCAAGCCCTCGGTTCGTGCGTATTCCTGGAGCCTAGAACGGAGGAACGGACTGCTTGCAAACCCTCCCACAAGCATGATCATCTACGCAGCGAGTGGAAGTCTTTTTTTGGGTAATCAACGCATAGTAAGAATCACTCACTGTTATACCATCTTTGGTGCGATCACGTTGGTCTTCGATAGCTTGTTGTATGGCCTCGATAGACGGCCTGAATAGCTCAGCTATCTCATCACTGCATACGCAGATGTTTAGGTCACTGATCAGTGCAATGCACACTCGTTACTAGGCGATCAATACATACCCCTTTAGCGATATGGCGCCTCGCTTGATGTGATATTTATCTTCAAAGTCACAAGAAGCCCCGAACTTGATGTATGCCGACTTCGAAGGATCTCTGAAGGTTGGTTTCGCTTTGGTCTCAAAGCAATCTACCATCGATTTAAAATGTTCCTCGCTGGCAAAACGGGATCCTTCCAGCTTTGCTATATCTCGGTGGATTAGAATACAACACAATAACTGGACGAAACATGGCACAAGCCTTACCTTCAAACAGTGCGCGCGCTCGTACATTCACAAAGGTAGACCCTTGTAGGACACCTGGACAGAACACTGCTGTCTCAAGGCTGTCATCGCCTGTAACGGACACTGTGATACTTACAGTCTGTAGCGGAACTTTCAACCACACTCATGGGGGATGTTGCCATGATTTTGTAGGTGCTGACATCAATGGTACCTCCGCCCGCATCAACAATCATTATATGGTTACCTCCCTTTTGGGGGATTCATTAGCAAGACACGGCGGATGAGCATTGAATGAACCTTGATGACATCTCCTGCTAGTCCATTGACGATGCAGAAGTGAAGGCTGGCTTCTCCCTCAGTAACAAAATGGACCCTAGCGCGTCCGGCTTCGGTGTCTGGTATCAAGCCGGCCATGATTGCTGCGCGTCTCATCTTGGTCTGCTGGCTGCCTTCCCATCCGTTTGGGTGACTCAGAACAAACTCGATGCTAGTCCCAGACTCCAGAACCTCCCTTCCGAGGGGGTGTGACTCGGAGATGAAGTCCGTCGCGCATCTGTAGAGGTATCGCAAGTAATCGGCGAAGATCTCGACGACAGACTTGTCGATCCAAATCTTCGGCAATCGCTCGCCCCTCGCCTGCTTGCCGCTCGGGCGAAGACGTAGTTTGAACCTACGTGCAAAGGTTGAGAACGCTTCCCGGGACAAGTGGAGATGTCGTACCATTCCACGCGGGTCCATTGTTCCCCTTCAGCCTCACTGTCGGTAGCGTCCGATGTGGCTTCAGCTCCAATGGCTTTCACTTCGCCGTTCTCGTCGTAATAAAGCACGGAAGGTATCTTCGTGTCTCTGGACCTGTTCTCGCCTTCCTGACCGGGAAATCTGGAAGGCATCAAAGATCAGGGCATTGCGATCATTGTTGTGAGAGGCACACCTGGTAACACTCAGAACTTTTGGCACCTCTCCAGGGTCTAGGATACAGAATGAAACACCGCTGTATGTCGTCCCAACGTCTATGGCCAACACCAGCTTGCGAGTCGTCCCGAGGTATGGTTCTCCACGGGGCATGCTGAGCGTGGAACAGCTGTGCAAGCGGGACAACTCTCCCGCGAAGGCGCAGTATTTAAATAAGATAGAGACTGACCTCCGTCACCTCGTGCCCGACAGTTTGACCACATCGCATATTGTCAGGTTTGACAGGTATTTTTTTTGCGTACCGATAAAAGAACTTAGCGTTCTGAGATTGCTTGGGATGATGTGGGGCACGGAACCCCTGTTTTGGTACATCAGGGAAAGCGATTCCCTCGAAATTCGACCTGCATCTCACCGGCGGTCATTTACGATCCTAGTGGCTCAGGAAACGTCGCGCGCGATCCAGTGTCTCACGGCATGAGATTGTTGCTCAGCCCGATGATCGGATCAAGATCCCGCGCGCGGGCCGTGCTTTCAGTCTCGCAGACCCAGCGCAGACCCGGTACATATTGGAAGTGCCAGACATTTATGAACATACTGGGTGCCAAATAGAGCTTGGCGAGCCTACCTCGACGAAGGGTGTAGCCCCCGCGGTGCACGTTGATGGGAAACTGCCAGGGAATCATTCGCCTCCTCAGCTACAGTCCACATTCATTGTTGCCAATGTTGGAATCTCCGGGTGAGTGCCCGAATGCCGACACACCACACGGCAGCGTGATGTTGCTGTACCTGCCATATGGTACCTCACCATCGAATACGGACTGCTAAAGCAGTTCGACTCATCGGCGGCGCCTGTATCTACACTTCGCACGTTTGCCTCCCTGCGCCAGCGAGGATGAGACAAACTGCGCGAGTTCTTTGATTGTTTTCCGTGCACGCTCGCTCTGCTCACGCAAATTTTCCTGCTGCCAGTACTTGGCCACCGGTGCTTGCTCTGACAATCCACACCATGTTTGTGAGCTATCCGCCAGCCAATTGGCCCTCTTCGTCGTTCGGACTCGTCTCGAGTGCGTGTGTGTGTCGAGGCAAAGCCACTGAGCACGTGAGAATGGGATGTTCCAGCCATCTGGGTCTGAGATTGCGGATCACTATTGCTCACGCCTGAGACAATGGATCGGCGTTGATCATTCCTGAGACTGTGTCTCGCCTATGATCCTCGAACTCATACATGGCACCAAACGAGCGAAATGTGGCATACACTTTTCCTGATGTAGGTTGCCGTGCGGCAGCTTGCCATGATAGGCTATCCGGTTCTTACCCGCATCCCAAGGAATTCCCGACCGCTATGTCAGTACACCATGTACATTGATATGCAAATACCTGGAAGCTCGGTGACCTCAATTGAGTTGGATATACCTCAACTGGAGTCGCGAATGAGTCGTGCACGGTGAACTATTCCGGTACGCCGCGAGGCGACCTGAGGCCTAGCTTCGCAAAGTCATCTCCGCCTTCTAGTTATCAGCCTACACGTAATACGGACGCTCCCGGCCTTCTGCAATTCTACTCAGGGATCAGCACGATAGCATATGACACGCGTATCTTTCACTTCGGAGAAATTGGGCTTAGTGCAGAGCACGGGTCGTGGGAACCCGCGCGGGTAGCGGGTATGGGTATGCCCGGGTACGGGTACGGGTCACGTTTTTGTGACCCGGACCAAACCCGTACCCGTACCATACCCGTCACTCGCTCAAACGCCAGACGCCGCCCGCCGCGCTGGTGCCACCAACTCGAACAACGGCGACGCGCCAGAGGCAGTTCGCGCCTCCCGCCGCGTGAATACCTGCGCGTCCATCCTACTCTCACGCCCGGCCTCTCTCACCTGCTCGCTCTCGTCCGTCTCGCCCGTCTCGCCCATTCACCCACTCGCACTCGCCAGCCCTGCACCACGTGCTCGTGCTATTACACCACCCGAACACAACACGCTCGAAGCTCGAACGCGCGACTTCGCAGCCGACGAATGGACATCGGGCACACACGCAAGGTGAGTGAAAAAACAGGCGGGCAGGTTCGCTAATAGCGAGCACAGAGTGCAGCAGCTCCGCGCAGCATCAGTCTGCTGCGCGACGCGTACGACGACCGCGAGCGCGCCGGGCCAATGCCCTGCATGCAGACGCGGTCGACGAATGGGCGGCGGGGCGGACGAAGGAGGAGACTACCGGGCGGGACAGCGAACGTTCAACGGGCGAGTCGACGGGCGCGTGGACGGGCGGGCAAGTGGGTGAGTAGGCATGCGAGCAGGCGTGTGAGCGGGCGGGAAAGCGGGCGGGAAAGCGGGTGTGCGGGCGGGCGGGCGAGTGCGCGAGTGAGCGGGTGAGTGGGCAGGCAGGCGGGCGAGCGATCAGGTGGGTAAACAGGCAGGCGGACGAGTAGGCAGGGCGGGCGGGCGGGCGGCGGGAAAGCTGGCAAACGGACGAGCAGGTGAGCACAATGCCGGCCGGTGGGTGAGTGGGCAAGCGGGAGGGCAGGCGGGAGAGCGGGCGGAGAGTGGGGAAATGGGCCGCACGACTTCCAGGCTCAGACGTATGTGTTGGACGAAATGATAGTGAGACAGATGGTTTACGACTTACTCCAGTGGCTACTGTCAGCAGACCGACACGTATGTCAAGTCTGCGACTGTGGGTGCAGCGCGAAGCTCTTCTATTCTTGGCGATATTGCGCCAATCAGCATCTGTACCACTCGCGGAGAATGAGGCATAGTACGTAGGAAGTCGGATATGTCAAGCCAATGACTGATTTGTTCCTCCTCAGCGTCGAGGAATGCATCTGGATGTGTGGCCTCAAAGCCTACGCCGACGCCGTTCTGGGTACCCTTGGTGCGAATAGCTCCAGCGGTGCACCATTATTGGTGTTGAACTCGTTGCCAAGGTAGTATTTTGAGACTACACCTACGAGTAAGCTGACATGTTGACTTCTAGTCATCATTGATTTTCCCGGACGAGCCTACTGCGAGAATGGACTCAGGTAGTGCATGGGCGGCACACAAGCGGGACACGCAAGGTGACCGCAAGCATGCAGGGCGAATGCCGAGCCCGCAAACGTGACCGACGAATGGACCGCACGCCTGAAGATGCTGCGCACATGACAACGGCGAGCGCGCAGGGCATTCGCCCTGCGTGCAAACACATTCAATGGGCGGATCGCGGGCACGGGTGCGAGGGCGCCGGGCGGGCAGGCAAGTCGGTGGACGGGCAGGCAAGTCAGTGGACGGGCAGGCAAGTCGGTGGACGGGCAGGCGGATGGGTGGACGGGCAGGCGGATGGGTGGGCAGAACGGTGGGACAGGTGAGTAGAATGGGCAGACTCAAGCGACAAGGCAACCACGGGCGGGCATAGGGTGCGGACCAGCACCGCATGCACGGCCGATGAAAGGGAGGCGGGCGCATGAGCAAACACAAGTGACCATGGCGGTGGGCAGGGCGCGCGCAACACATCAACCATGAGCACCTACGTCACGTTCGATCACCCACGCATCCATGCACCTACTTACCTGCAGACCCGCCCACTTGCCCGTGGACCCGCGGACCCGCGTGCACCCGTGCAGAACCCGTACCCGCTGTCACGGGTCAGTACCCGGGGCGGTACGGGTACGGGTACACCTCGGGACACCCGCGGGTGTACCCGTGCTCTGCACTAATTGGGCTGCAGCCACGTACTAAGTAGTGATCACGCGGGATACGCCCGGGCCACTCAACGCCGCATAAGTCAGCCAGCGATTGTTCACTCGCTCTGAAAGCATGGCACCAGATGCTGGCATGCTCATGTATGAATACCTGTTGTTAGCACAAAGGGATCATACATAAATCCCAGTACTTACAATTCCCCTTCATGTATGAAAGCGCAGTAATCACTGCAGCCGGCGCCCCGCTCACTACCCGAAAGGGCAGCTGCCCTTTATGGACCACCCAGGTCACTGGGCCCGGGCGCCGGGGAGAGCTCGCGGCGGCGACCCTACCCAAAATGGGCGCCGTCGCGCGCTCTTCCTCTTTGGGTCCTGTCGCGGGCTCATCGGGCGAATGCGATCGCAACGAGTGATCAGCGAGATCTGACGTTTTCTGGGGCCAGGTACAGTACCGTATATAGTGACTTCTTTGGCACCGTGCCTAGATGGTTTGTATCTAGATCCGGCAGATGGATAACATGTATGTCGTGCCCCATGACATATATGCTGCACATGTCGCACTCCTCGACATACACTAAAGGATTTGTTCGTCGCAATGACAATGGCTGCTTCAAGCCTTGATGCAATTCGCATGAAGGGCCAAGGCAACCCTCCTATTTTGGTATGTTTAAGGCCCTGACAAATCATCATGCTCGGTCAAATGCAGCGGCCTTAGAGATCCACGATATCGACACTACGCAGTATACTAAACACTACAGAACAGGCGGATAACACTGCAACACTGACTACGCCATACTACTCCTGCTCATCGCCCGCCTCTTCGTCGCCCGCCTGTCCGTCGCCGTCCAACCCATCACTTTCCCATCCGTCGCCCATAGGCCCACACAGTTCGTCCTCCCACTCCTCATCCATATGCTCCCACTGGCATGCCTCGTGGGCCCTGCCCAAAGGCTCGCTCGCCATGCGTAGTGCTTGCAGTATGCTGCGGTGACTCTTGTTGATGGGTGGGTCGTGCTTACTGACGTGTTGTTCATGCTCGTCGACACAGCGCCCGACGAACAGACGCGTTCGTCAACGGTGTGCCCGACATGTTTGTCGATGCGGCGCCTGGCGTGTTCGTCGACACACTTGTTGACGCATGATTCGTGTTCGTTGTCGCCCTGTTTGTGCCCGTCATCCGCCTCTGTCAGGTTCTGCCCGAGCGGCCACATCCCTTTGTACCCGCCAACACACTCACCCTGTCAACGCCATTCGACACGCTCGTAGACGCACTCGTTGACAAGAGGGTCAGTCTGGACTCTGGGGCGGGTAGTAGATTAGTGCATGCATAGATGACTAGGCCAGGCGAGCTTACCTGGGTAAATTCACCCCTGAATGCGTCTCGGAACCCCAACCGTTGTCTTCCATGTAGAGTCGAGTACGAAAGCAGAATGGTAGTGATACAGTAGCACGCAGAAGCGACGTGAGCCTTGCGGGCG